TATTTATTATAAGTGTTCAATAAATTGGACAATGGAAGGAAGAACAAGAATAATTGAGACCTTTTTGGAAATTGCTATTTCCTATGACATTTGGTCAATAACTTACATCTCATATATTCTTTCTTCTTTTAAGGGTGATGAAAATGATTAAACTACTGATTTTAAGATGTCTTATTTTTTTCCTGCTTGTGTAATATTGTAGGTTGTGAGAACAGGACACTGGATGAAGTTTGGTGTAAGAAGTAGGAAGGGAAGTAGTAAACTTGAAATAAACCAAACTGGTTTACATGAGTGTGTGTGTGTGTGTGTGTGTGTGATTTTTGTACCTAAAGGTGAGAGAATTATTCTTGCATTAAGTTTTACATTGTGGATACAAGAGAATGTAGACCAAGGGGAAACTCAGTGTAGGATGATGATGACAGTTTTAAGTTACTGCATGTCTATCGAGAGTCAGTTATGCACACAATATTCTACATGCATCATCTCGGTTAGCCTTTGTAATGGCCCAGGGATATTGAGGTTGTTAGGCCTACTTGAAGAATGAGAGCACAGGTCTAAGGGGACATAAATTGTCTAGATCATGCAGATAACTTGGATAGCCAGAAGTCAGGCTCCAACCCCTGAATGTCAAACCCATTCTCTTCCATGACACAATTCTCAAAGGAGTCAAATTTTCAAATAACATCTTCACAGGATGTATCATTTTTCCTGTAAAGCCACATTGGGAGTGTTTGAGATATCTAGTAATAAAAATAGAATTTTCCTCACAATTCTTATTAAACCAACAATATTGGAGGAGATGTGCAAACTCTGAAAATAGTACCTGACTAGTAAAAGATACCCTACAAATCCATGCTTTTGTTTTCATTTTTCTACTAATGTACATATATGATAAAAAAAATTTTAAACTTTAATGCACATCAAATTTCTGAAATAGCTAATTTGTGAGAAGGAAAGGAATAAAACAAAATTTGATGGACATGATTTGATTTAAAATATAACCCTAATATAGCCTAATCAAATATATGTTGTATTTATTGACTGTTATTATTAAACTACAAGAAATTGCTGAATATATCAAGAGACATATGCCATTACAAATATTTTATAGACAAAAATGCCACTTAATTCCATTTTTCAGGATGGCCAGTTTCAGTACAAAAGATCTTCTTTTGAAAAGATGGCAAGCTTGTCGAAATTGTAACAGCAACTTAGTTCTTCACGACTGCTCAAGGGTGCTCATTGTCACACAGACCAGTGTGTCACAGTAGTTATTGGAACTGAGTCAATATGCAATGCAGGCAGCTCTTGTTGTAAGAGGGTTGAAGCAATTCAATTGCAAGTCTAGCCTGAGACCAGAAATCAGACTAGAAAAACAAGATGCATGGGTAGTCAGTAATGAAAACTGCTTCAACTGCCAGTAATTAATTCAGAGACCATGCAAAGATATGCTGTGGTTTCTAAGATCACCCTGATAATGGTGTGAAAGGGACTTGGTTGTTTCCTTCACTTGAGAATTTCAAAGATGAAATGTGATATCAATAAAGTTCATGGTGTTATAAAGAGGGTGAATATGGATCTTTTTTGAGATCGTTATGGAGTGCCTCTTTCATGATTTCCTGTGACTTATTGATTACTCCCAATATCGAGCACTGTCTCTGGTACACATTCTACAAAGATAAGGGATAAATTCTAAGGAGACCAGAGTTTTATGAGGAAGGCAGAGGGTCCACCTAGTACAGGAAACACAGTAGACTCTTAGTAAATACTTGTTGAAAGCATTTATAATCAAGTATGGGATGAATACTGAAAGCATGCAGAGTGTCAGGAGTGCCCTGACAGAGGAAGTTAGGACAAGAATAGGTACTTGGGGCTTTGTTCCAGGTTTGAAGAGTTGAGCTTCTCTAAGAGCCTTACCCTTGAGCCACATCTTGAAGGAAATGGAGGAGGAGGATTAGGAAGGAAGAGGAAGGGAACTTAGAGAGTGTACCATGTTCAAAGAGGCAGGTTGATGAGACAGCCTGGAGAACAGCAACCTGGATTTTAGGTTTATGATGTGGCGTGGTGTTTAAACAAAGATTAGTAAGAATGACATCATGTAAATGACACATTTACCACCAAGTTTATAGATTCCCGCATAGACAATGGATCTCAAATATTGCCATAAAATAATAAAAATATAGCCAATCATACAATGCTTCATGTGTACTAAATTCTTTGCATTTACTGATTCATTTCTGATTCTTCCCGCTGAGGTTGAAATTATCACTACTCCACTTCAAAAGTGAGAAACGAGATAAAAGGAAATGAAGGAATTTACCCAAGAAAATACATCTGATAAGTGACAGAAATAGGGTTTGAACCCAGCATTCTTGCTCCAGAACACACTTCTACCTGCTTCAGTATTGTATTGTTTCTTAAAGCAATGCCTGAATTTGTGTCACTTGACATTAATAATATTTGAAATATCTAAATAAGAAATTATTTTTGTGATCAGTAGTTCTCATTTGCTTTCCAATATTCTTAATTGAGTTGGAGAAAAGAGATACAGCAACAGTGAACTGGTAGCTGTGTATAGCTTGGAATACATTCGTCAGAATGTGTTAAACAGTGACATTCTTCTGTAGTGTATGTCATTGTGGCAAACAAACAAAAAGATTGGGCACTACTGCTGAAGGAAATATGGAGTCTCAGTGAAGGGAGTAGCAATTTGTGAAATTTTAAAGGAAATTAAATATCCCTTTATACACGGAGAATATGGCATTACAGATTTCCAAAGTACTATGTAAATGACAATGAATTTACTGTTAATATCAAGTTCATAGCATATGCATCAGAATTCTGGGGTTCACTACCCAGGTCCAATCCCATCTGCAGCTTCTTGCTAACGCAGATCTTGGGAAGCAACAGTGATAGCTCAAGTGTTTGAGTTCCTGCCATCTGTGTAGGAGAGCTGGGTTGACTTCTTTGAGCCTGCTGTGCCCTCAACCCAGCCCTGGCTATTATGGGCATCTGAGACATGTGAATCAGGGGGTGGGGTTCCTTTTTTTCCTCACTCCCTCTCTCTCTCCCTCCCTGCCACCCTCCTCCTCACCTCCTCCTTTCCTCTCTGAATTCGTTACTCCTCCTCCTTTTCTCCTTCCTCCTCCTCACTCTCTGCCTCTCTAGTTCACTCATTAATTTTCAGAAGATGAATAGTAATACCTGATTATCCTGTGAACTTGACAAGTATTGATTCATTTAAATTCTCATAACAACTCTGAGAAAAGTGTCATTTTACAGGTAGAGAAACTGAGGATTTAGAAGTTTAATCTGCCCAAAATCTCTGAGTTAAGAAAGGTTTTTGGTCATGTATGACAAATAGGTTTCCATTGGACTCTGGGGAGTAGGTAAGATAGCACTGGTTGATTGGAGAGTTCCTATTATGTTTTCCAATTCTTAATTTCTTTGTTGATTTATATATCAACTCATTGATGATAATTTATACATGGATAACTCTTAGGATTTCAAAATGTATTCAATTCATTATTAGGTGTCCGTGTGGTAAAGGGGAGGCAAAGAGACATACACAAGTGTGAAAATAAATGGGGAATGAAGTTATCATGGACATGCAGCTACCAAACCACAGACCCAGGCTCATTCCTCCAAGCATGGCTCTTACAGCTCAGCAGTTCTCATGATAACAGATATCTGTGGACTCATCAGGAGTCTCACACTGTGTTCAGATGTTAGGAAGAATAAAGAAAACAGAATATTAGAATCTGCCCATTAACCACTAGGAAAATACTCCAATATTTGTTTGCAAGTTGCTGTCATTTTTGATAGTGTCATCTATTTTAAGTTAAATATTTTAGAATTTTGTGATCATTGATATGTAGGTAAACACCTCTACAAATAGGTTAGGAAATTCATCAGGTAGATATGTGATTTGTATATAAAGTTGATACATATCTATTAGTAGTATATATTCTTGGAGAATGAAATCTGGGAAAGAGATAACGAGAAAGGGAAACTTTCCAGTGCAGTATAAAAATTAAATCCAATATCCTGTGAGAAGAAATTCAGTGAACTGGGTCTGCAGAGTAAAGATAGGAACCAAGAAAAGGGATTGGTGTCAGCTGAATTTGTCAAGATAGGAAAGAATAAACCAAGCAGATGAAGAAGGGTCCAAAGATATTAAAGAAAAGGAAAGTCAGTACATGTGACAAAGCTGGATGGAACAAGGAAACATTGGCATAGCAATTGCTTTCTACTCTTATACCTATAAATGTGCAGAAGTTAATAATAGGGAAATTAAAAGTGGACAGAATCTGTAAGCTTCTGAAAGGAACAGAGTTTAGAAAAGACTGTGGTTCTTGCATTCCACTGTCCTGCCACTGTTTCACTCCTCATGGTCAATGCGGGAAATTTTATGATATGGACTGAATTAGGACTTCCCGCTGATCACTTCTTCATCATTGTGAGGTTCCCAACAGTCGCCCACATTGGTAAACTTTTAGGCAGAAAGACTGGAAGCAGAGGAATTGAAAAATGCAACTGCTTCACAGAGAGTTGAAGTTAGCAAAAAGTAACACTGAGGATACTGGCTGGGGTATTCTGCCGTATATTAGGTGCCATTTGTAGTTCACACTGTGCAAGAGCTGTCATGCTTCAAGCCACTGACATTTTTCTCTATTAACTACCATTCTCTGTAGCCAGTACTGAAAATTCAGCCTATCAACTTTTATTTATTTAGCTACTATGTGCACTGCCTAACTTGGATACTCATCATTTACTTCCTAATGTGCATAATAAAGCATGTCTTATTCCTGTGTGTACATCTGGATTTCTTTTCATGTAAAAGATATTAAGCTATCAAGAATGACCTTGTATGGATAATAATCTTCATATCACTTACTACACACGATATACTTTTATCTGCCATTGTTCTTCAAAGAAAAGTAAGCCCAGTGGTCTGTCTTACTAAAATTTCACTACTACTGTTTTCTAACTCTTTATAGGCAGTGCGGGGACACCTGTCACATTCAATGAAAATGGAGATGCTCCTGGACGTTATGATATCTTCCAGTATCAAATAACCAACAAAAGTACAGAATACAAAATCATTGGGCACTGGACCAATCAGCTTCATCTGAAAGCAAGTATCCACATAAGTGTGCATTAATGTATTAACTCTTTAACTTTTTTAGAATAGACTTTCCCATAGATACTTTTTCAAAAAAAATATGCCTTTACCCTTCATTCAACTTAAAATATTGAAGACATTCATGCATCTGTTGAGAAATCTCGTGATATCTATAAGAATATAATGAATGATTTCATTTCCTTTTAATTGACTAAAAGAAATATTGCCCTCTTCTGAAATGTTCGCTTATCCAAATCTTTGTACACTGTGTGTGTGGCATATGTAGGGGTGGGTAGGAGGGATTAACTGTGCAGTGAGTTATTAAGTTTAGGCTTTAAAAAGAAGTATCCCCTTTGCCATATCATAAGGTGAGACCTTATGGCTACATCGGATTGATGGAAGTGCATATGTATTTGCGTTACTTCTTTCACTTACAATGCTGTGGGAAATTAATGTATCCAGAGATGAGGGTCAGATTATTTAACAGCTCACAGGGTTGCCTATTGTCAATGTTACTTTGAAACTCCTATGGTCCAGGATCCATGACTTCCACAGTTCCTACCAGAGGCCAGGTAAGGGAGACCTGCAGAGCCCAGCCAAAGGAAGCTCCCAGGGCCTGGAGGTGGTGCCCATCACAGATAGCATTTGCACACAGGAGCACCAGGCCAGCTGTCTTTCCTTGCAGTCGGGAGGGATGGAGTGGAGCTGGCAGGCCATGTGGCAATGGAGAAGAGGAGCTTTGTCAGATATCCCTGTCTTGAGAGAGGCTCCTCAAAGGTGCAATTTCAGAGAAGGAGTCTTGGTGGACTCATAGGAATGCTGCCTGCTTCTCACACCCACCAGTCATTTAGGGCTCATATTGAATTCAGGAAATCACTCCTGAACTTGATGGGTAAGGAAGATCCAGGGCGCAAGCCCGGCATGGCTGGTGGGGAAGGTTGGAACAGCATCTGTTTATCACCAAGTAAAGAATTCACATTTCAACTGCCCATGGCTCACTATCAGTGCACAAAGGCTTCAAATGTAGGTGAATAGAGAGCATACCTTGTAGTCTCAATGCAGGTTTGGAGTTGGTTTACTTTGCATCTCTTGTACATAGGTGCAGGGCTATCTGTGGACCCAGGAATCCTTAGAGTGACACCAGTGTTTACTCTGGAGGCAGTAAGGTACTTTCACAATGCTACCAGGAAAGGAGGACGTGGTCTCCCACTGTTCTCTTGTTCTTTCCATTAATAAAATATATCCTCTTCTTGATTCTCAGAGCAACCACAATACTTGAGTGTGCATGAGCTTTCTTGTGCTGGGACCCATTTAGAAGATATTGATTTGGTATCTTAAAATTATTTTTGCTTTTCTGTGTCCCTTGAAGTAATGTGTTTATGCAAATATCGGTCACCCAGGTTCTCAGCAAAGAAGCAGAAAGCAGATCATGAGAAATAACAAAACCAAAATATGAATGATTTATTGTCTCTTTGAAGTGACTTCAAGATAATAACAGCTCTATTTTCAATAATGCACAAAAGGACTATGTTCCCACTAGTATAGTATATAAGACCACATATTTACAGTTTTTTCCTTTTTATTTTCCCAAGTTGAAGATACAAAATTATTTTGCAAACAGCAGTAAGATAGTTCTCGTTACTTCAATTTGTATAGCATGCAATATTTTTATTTTTAATAATTTTTAAAATTATATTTGACTAAACAAATTTCATGTATTTCATATGTATAGATTTAAGAACAGAGTGACACTTCCCTTCCTACCCTCCCTCTGAAAAACACCCTCAAGGTTCGTCCTCTTTCCTTTCTGATTCCCTCTCTTCATTTATACAATTATCTACTTTCAGTTTACTTTATGCTCAGAAGACTAATCCTACACCAAGTAAAGAGTTCAGCAAATACTAAGAAGAAATTAAACTGTTCATCAACAGTAGAGACAAGGGCTATAAATAATCTTTGAATCTCAAAATTTCAACTTCACTCCTATACCTTGTATTATTGGTATTCTATTATTTACTACAGATCATGGAAATTATATGATATTTGTCTTTTTGGGACTGGTTCGTTCCACTAAGTATAATGGTTTCCAGATGTATCCATTTTGTTAGAAAGACAAGATTTCATTCTTTTTTTATGTCTTAGTAGTATTCCATACTATGTGTGTATAATAATTTTTAACCAGTTAGCAGTTGATAGACATCTGAGTTGATTCCATATATTAACTATTGTGAATTGATCTGCAATTATATTGGGGTACAGATAACACTTTCATATGCTGATTTCATTTCTCTTAGGTAAGTTCCCAGGAATGAGCATCTCCATACTGTCTTTCACAATGCCTCTACTAGTTTACATTCCCACCAGCAAAAAATTAGTATACTTGATCCACACATCCTTACCAGCATTTATTGTTTCTTGAATTTCTGTATGGTAGCCATTCTTTTTTTAACTTTTATTTAATGAATATAAATTTCCAAAGTACAGCTTATGGATTACAATGGCTTCCCCCCCATAACGTCCCACCCACCTGCAACCCTCCCCTTTCCCACTCCCTCTCCCCTTCCATTCACATCAAGATTCATTTTCGATTCTCTTTATTGTATGGTAGCCATTCTAACTGGGGTGAGGGGAAACATCATTGTGGTTTTGTTTCGAATTTCCCTGATGGCTAGTGATCCTGAGCAGTTTTTCATTCATTTCATGGCCATTTCAGTTTCCTGTTTTGAAAAATGCCAGTTCAAGTCATTTGCCCATTTCTTAACTGGATTATTTGTTTTTTGTGTTTCTTGAGCTCTTTGTAGATTCTGACATTAATCCTTATCAGTTGCATAATTTGCAAATATTTTATCCCATTTTGTCAGTTGCCCTTTCACTTTGGTGAGTGTTTGTTTTGCAGTACAGAATCTTCTCAGCTTGATATAATCCTATTTGTCCCAATTTTGGCTTTGATTGCCTTCTTGTATCTTTTCGTATGCCAGTATTTCATAGTGTTTTGCCCTGTTTGTACATTTGAAATGTTCTCCCCTAGTAATTTAAGGGTGTCAGGTCATAGATTTAGTTCCTTGATCCATTATCATTTGATTTTTGTGTAAGTTATAAGGTAGGAGTCTTGTTTCATACTTCTGCACATGTAGATCTAGTCTTCCCAGCACCTTTTGTTGAAGAGACTGTCCTTTCTCCAGTGACTGATTTTAGCTCCTTTGTCAAAGATACGTTGGTTGTAGATGTGTGAGTTGATTTCCAAAGTTTCTATTCCATTCTATTGGTCTACATTTCTATTTTGTCTATTTTTTGACGATACTAGACTGTTTTGGTTATAATTGCCCTGTAGTATGTCTTGAAATCTGATATTTTGATGCCTCTAGCTTTGTTTTTGTTGTACAAGATCGCTTTAACTATTTGGAGTCTCTTCTGATTACATATAAATTTTAGTATTTTATCTAGATCTGAGAAGAATGTCATTGGTATTATTGTGATTGCTTTGAATCTGTAAATTGATTTTGGAAGAATGGACATCTTCACTGTATTAATTCTTTTAATCCACAAACATGGAATATTTTTCCATTTTTTTGTATCTCTCTTGATTACTTTCTTTAATATTTTGTAGTTTTCATTATTGAGATTTTTCAAATTTTGATTAAATGTTATTTAATTTTTATGTAGCTATTCTGAATGTTATTAATCTTAGAACTTCTTTCTCATTGATGGCTTGTCTGTGTATACAAAGTCTATTGATTTTATGTGCTTTTGTAAATCTTGCCACTTATAAAACTCTTAAGAGTTTGAATAGTCTCTTAGTGGAGTCCCCTATACATAGAATCATATCATCTGCAAATATCAATTTTTACTTCCTCCTTTCCAATTTGTATCTCTTTGATTTTCTTTTCTTGTCTAATGGCTCTAGTTAAAACTCCAAGGACTATATTGAATAGCAATGGTGAAAGTGGGCATAGTTGTCTGGTTCTATATCTTAATGGGATGCTTCCATCTTTTCCCCATTCATTAAGATGCTGGCTGTCAGCCAGCGCTGCGGCTCACTAGGCTAATCCTCCGCCTAGTGGCGCCGGCACACCAGGTTCTAGTTCCGGTCGGGGCGCCAGATTCTGTCCCGGTTGCCCCTCTTCCAGGCCAGCTCTCTGCTGTGGCCAGGGAGTGCTGTGGAGGATGGCCCAAGTGCTTGGGCCCTGCACCCGCATGGGAGACCAGGATAAGTACCTGGCTCCTGCCATCAGATCAGCGCGGTGCGCCAGCCACAGTGCACAGGATGTGGCGGCCATTGGAGGGTGAACCAACGGCAAAGGAAGGCCTTTCTCTCTGTCTCTCTCACTGTCCACTCTGCCTATCAAAAAAAAAAAATGCTGGCTGTCAAATTTTTTGATTTGTAAATATTGAGCTGACCTGGCATACCAGGGATCAATCCCACTTGGTCCAGGTGAATTATCTTTCTGATGTGTTAGATTTGATTAGCTAGTATTATTCCGAGGATTTTTGCACCTATGTTGGTCTGTAATTATCTTTTTCTTCCTTTTATCTTTTTTTTTTGATTTTGGAATTAAGATGATACTGGCCTCATAGAAGGAATTTTGTAAGAATTCCCTCCCTTTCAGTTGTTTTGAATAGCTTGAGAAGAATTGGAATTAGTTCTTCAAATGTCTGGTAAAATTTAGCAATGAAGCCACCCTGTCCTGGGCTTTTCTTTGTTGGGATGGTCTTTATTACTAATTTAGTCTCCAACTGGATTATTCTGTTTAGGTTTTCTATGTCTTAATGACTCAATTTGGGAGATTATCTGTGTCAAGAAATCTATTTCTTCTAGTTTTCCAATTTGGTGGCATACAGCTGTTTGTAGTAATTCCTGATTATTTTTATTTCTGTGCTACCCATTGTTATAGCTCCTTTTCATTTTTTATTAATTTGGGGCCTCTTTTTTTGGTTAGTTGGATCAATGGTGTATCAGTTTTATTTTTTCAAAAAAGCAGCTCTTCACTGACCTTTTTTTGTTCTCAGTGTTA